AGCATTACAAACAGATATCCCAACTTCCCGTGGATTCAATGACTGGACATTTTTCTCACATTGCTGATAACGTTATACTAATCAGCGCAGGAATTTCAATGGAAAGAAGGCCAACGATGGCGTTTAAAGAAGACATGACAAATAATGATTCGGTTATTTTTTAATTCCCAAATTCTCATTTCTTTTTGGAATTAATTCTTACCCAACCTGTATGAGCCCAAAGACATAATCATTGAGCCATACCAGTGGCATCTCATCACTCTCGTGCATCGATGGTAAATATTTTGTCCTGTCGTCTTCCATTAGCCTCTTGCAATAGAGTATTACGTTCATTTGACCACTTTTGGAAAGGAAAATCAAGCATTGTACTCGAATCAGTATGAGATCGGTGTTGAAGTCGAGTAAGCGTTTTTCAGGACTTCAGCGTGAAAGTGCTTTGCACGCCGAGCTCGTAAAGAGGAACATCATTGAACTGCTAGAGATTTGCGGAAATATCACGTCAGCTATTCGACTTTATAATTCAAAAGAAAAGTAAGGACACGATACTGCCGCTTCAGTAGAGTAATTTGTTTGCATAAATACGCTTGCTGTCAAAGCAACTGCAAGGAATTCGCACAATGAGACGCCAAGCAATCGCACTGAGTTCAGTACGACGTCCAAAACTAGCGACGCTTAGTTTCGTGCACGACTTCCCATCTAATTTTGCGTAACCTTACATGTTTCTAACAATGACCAAATGCTTGCACCGATGGTGGTCTATACGAAGGTCAAAAACTACAGAGCGAACAAGAAGAGATCTCAGTTAAACGCGAAGCAGTGTTGACACTTCACGCATTGTAATTCTTTAGATGTACCCAGTGGCCTTCTAAGGCTGCACTTTATGCGAAAGAGGCTGAAAAAATTAACAGCATCACATAGCATAAAAAGCAGGAAACCTAACATGACCTCAAGATCACTGTTTTGCATAACGGTGGTTTCGCATGCAAGAAAATTACGTGACTGCCACTAAACAGTTTACTGGTTTAGAGCAAAACTTGTGGCATAATTTTCCCCCAGAATTTGAGTAAATTCTGAAATTTTTAAAACCTTTTTTTAATTGAGAAAGGCTAGACGTAAAGAGATGGCACGAGTCAGAGCAAATAATCCATTCGTGTTGAGCGAAACGAAAACGCAAATGCAACGGGCAACGATACTGCCTGAGGCTTCTCTAAAGACGAAGTAGGGCATGAGGCTGGAGTAGAATGTGTATTGCCGATGTACTGAAATGGTCAAAAGGCCTGCGCAGGCAATGGTGGAGCCCCAAGCCGTGCGCTACTTAAAAGGGAGTCAAGCAAACGTTTGAAGCACAACTCGAGAGATCAGCTTCACAATGAATTTTTGCATACGAAATAGATATTTATGACCTCACCTAACAACACATCAGGAGTTTGTACAGGGCATCCTCAGTAGTATTCAATGGTAAAAGAGTTTTAAACAGCCATTTTTGTATAATAGGCCTCTACAATCACTTTTTTTAAGTTGGTACTTCACGAAGATTCATCGTAGAAGCTAAACAATGACCAGAGGACATACCCAAAGTGAGTGATAGAAAAGGCAAATGCATAACATTGAAAATTGGGAAGTTGAAATTCCCCTGACATCCGCTGTTTTTATGCTGACACAAGTTGAAGTTGAACTTCCCTTAAGTAGTGTCAATTCAAAAGAAAGTCTGACACGCACACAGAGGAGATCCGTGACCACCCTTCCGACGTCATCCGCCCACCTATGCAAATGAAGCACCAAAGTTGACTGAATGCGGGGTAAAATAGCGAGTGAGGAGATGGGAACCCAAATTGGACACTCCACGCAGATGAGGCTCAAAGAATGCGACTGTAATTGCCTTTTTATTTGCACAGTCGTGAGATCTACGATTCCTACTGTAGGTGGTCCGTATCCGCCATTTATTGAGAATGCCTCCAAGCAAATAGACAATTGGGTAAAAAAAGTTCGAGGAATCACACACACACACACACATGATTTGATGAAGCTTTTGCTTAGGAATATTATTAGCTCAAGTCACCAAAACAAGAAAATCCAAATATCACATAAAGAGAAGTAATGCCATGAATAGAAATGAGCGGAGTGAAGAGGTGAAGGGAGATGACAAGTAAGAGTGCAATCGTAAGGGACTTTCACAAGTACACGCACACAAAAGTAATGTTAGCGGGAGAAAAGAATAAGCGACACCCCGAAGGTCCAGGAAATTTACTCCTAAAAAGAAGAAGTGAGCCTTTGAAATGCATTAAAAACAACGGATCAGTAACTGGTTAAGAGGTTGCAAAATTTTGACCCCTTTTGGTGTTGGTATTTAGAAGTCCGCAGCTTTGACCCAGGGGATCTGGCTTTGATGACGCTAAGGGAATGAATAAAACACGGATAACCAGTAGTGCCCACTAAGTACGAAATGTTTGATTCCACTTGGAGGTATTGCCATCGCGCTAATACTTCTACGACTACCCTGAAGAGTACCGTGTTATTCTCCAATGTTAAATTCTCAGCAGATCCACTTTGCCAACAATGGGCACCTTGAGACATGAAAGAAAAGTAGGTACGGAAGAAACATGTATTCTTTTAAAGCTGCCGTTTCTAAAGAAGGTTCGACTGTAATTCACAAGTCACTTGTTAATCAGAAAGATGATGGGTTCCAACATGATGAGAAATGTGGAATGTAAGCGGTCGCCAAATTAAAGACCTCAAAGTCGAAAGTTGGTAAAGACTTGCTCATTAAAAGATACCATCTTTTCCCCTAATTTAAGCGTTAAAAAAATTTTGCCTCAAAGTCACGGCTCCACCTGAGGGCCGCACGCGGAGTGCAAGTGAGTTGAATGACAAAAGTGACTTTGAAAACATCCAAACGATGTCTACACACGAATCAAAGTACACCAGTGACAATTCACTCTAACAAAGTCAAAATTTCTCCCCCAAAATGTCTTCGTGTACGTGTCCCTAAACAATTTTGAACATTATTACACCACATGCGTAAGGTTCGGCATTTACACTATCTTCATCCTACTTACAACCATTCTAAAAGAAAATTTACTACGATATCAAGTCAAGCTTTGCCATTTTCAATTCATCTTATGCTTCTCCATTTCTAAGGACTTCAAGACCCATTTAACAGAAGCCGAGCATCTTACAGCAAACCTATCAAAGAATAAAGTGACGAACGCATCGTTTTAGAAGGAAGCTGGTATTAAATGCCAAAAAGCTGTTTTTATGACTGTGTCGATGCCAAGGTGCGTGGAACTTAAAAGGCGCAATAAACCAGTGCACTTTAGCTGTGTAAGGTCAAAGTTGAATCCTCTCACCAAGCTGCATTTCGCGGTCAGCTCTCTCCAGTCTACCGAGACTAAAAAGTCAGATCATACTTTCACGAGGAAAAAACCATGAAGACACTTTAAGGGATGCCACTTTCCACGTGATGGAACATCATAAATATACACCGACCATTCAAGTCAATTTTAAAATTTCTCATATCCTTGCTTACCGACGTGGCCTCCCAGTTTACGTGAGGAGTGTGGAAATCGAATTCGCAACTAATTTTATAGTTCAACAGGTTGTGGGTAGTTTCCTTCGTGTAAGTATTCATTTTATCTAATCACTTCCTCACAACAGTGAAAAGGAAACTTTCCTAAATCCACAACATGAAATACGCTAAAAAGTAAGCACATCAAATTAAGGAATGCAGTTCTTGCCTCCCCTACCTCTCCCATCGCAACAGTAACAACGCAGAATGGCCCCAAAAGGGCGTCAATGACAGTTGTACCCACTCACATTCAGGTTGCTGGCTGCCATTACATCATTTAATAAAAAAAAAACATGATTCTGACTGTCAGGTTCTACCATGACCCGCATTAAATCACCTCAAACGTGGATATGAAAACAACAGTTTGAATTAAAACCACAAAACTACACGTAAGCGCAGAGAAGCAGAAGGCGGGTTGCATCCAGACTAGATCTTTCCCTCAGGATCTAGAAAGTAGGAGAAAGGTTGTAATGACCAAACGACTATGGGAAAAGGGGAGAAACAAACAGGTCTTACGCATGGACGACTCCGCAGGCTGATTATTCGATGTCTACAAACAGAAAAGGAGGAGTAACACTTTGAATCCAAACTAACTGATCACATGTAGTACGCCCACGCCAATATATACTGATGTCCTCATCCACTTAAAGTAAGTATAGTAGGATAGTTGTGATCAGAGGCAAAGGAATAAGACTGACTGTACCTTGCCTTGATCAAGGGCATCGTCTGTAAATGAGAAGAAAGATACGACAACATCAGTGAATCTACCTTAGCATGAGTAATTTAGAAAGGCCTCGATTACATAGTACATAGAAGAGATGAGAAGTTACGCACCTGGTACCCTTTGATGTTCTGTTTCTGCATGTGCAGTCTGGAAGGAACGAAAGAGAGGTATAGAAGGGAATCAAAGACAAAGGCCCTTACAACTCTCGATAATCCCTCATCGCATGTAAGATGAACATTTCAAGTGAAAAAGTGTAGCATTGCCTCGGATCGCATGCACGACGGTGGATGCGTTCCACTTAATTAGTGCATTCTATCGTCTATTGATGACGCTGAACAACTTCATCTTAAACAGGTAATTAGAGGTTCTAAAGAGCTTCTTTCTGCGACTTTGACTGTTCTCACCAAGCATTATGTTAATGGGAATGATCACTAATGTACGCAACGAGGAAGAAACAATCATCACAAATTTGCACATTTAAATGGCTGAAGGAAATCTGAGATGTGATGGCTGGATAATAGTAAGTACAACGACCCACTGGCTTATGCGGAGGAATTACGAACGAAACTTCCTAATTTACAGTGCAATTTCAACAAATTACCTCCAGTAACTGATTTTGAGAGACTTCAGAAGCTGAAAATGGGAAAAGAAACAAAGCTGACGAGGGCCACAGATAGAAACAATGTTCCATCACGTAAACTATGAAAAAAACTAGAAAAAGTGAGGCCACTTTGGGGCAGAGGACAACCCACCCTGGGGCGGAGATTGTTCCTCGGTGACGGGTGAATTCCAATCAGAAAAACTTGTAATGTTCTCCATGATGATGGTCTGTTTGCAAGGGAAAAATATTCACATTAAGTGGCAGTCCCACCCATAACAACAAACAGTCATTGCCGCAAAAAATTGTCTGAAAGCCTGAGAGGAGTAAAAAAGATTCACCTTGGCGGAATTTATGCGGGATTGAACCACAAAACTGATTAACTATACTGCATATACATAGGACAACTTGAAAATGGAAAAGTTGTTCATCGAGCAAAAACACCGAAGTCTCAGTCATGTTTTATCCCCAAAGAATAAAACCCCCAATTGCAGTGAGCATGCACATCATTTATTTGTAATATTTAGCTGATTCAAGTAAAAGAAAGCATTTCACATTCAAGAAATGCACAAACATCATAATTTGACGAAACACTGCCAATTCAGCATGAATGAATTTCGGGGCCGCGGTTATAAAGTGAACCACACTGTATGTTAACAGAAGAAGCATTGGCCACAGCAGTATGGAAATGCATTGACTCGAACTTGACCAGCAACTAAGGCGTTCAAAAGAAAGTGACGCTTGTTTTTCCTCCGCGATTTCGGTATAACGCAGTGACCGTATGCGAAATTCTTTCGTTTCTTAAAAAGACATTTAGGAAACAAACGAGACCTATGCCCTAGCTAGGTTTTACCGCCTTCAGCTTGTTAGTTACTCTAAGTACAACCACTTTTATAAAAAAGGAAGGTTGTCAAATAAAATTTCTTACTAGCGACAGCTTTGCCCAATAAAAAAATTTGGGCACATGAATCGTTACAAAGTTAACACTATAAGCAACGAATGAGACGCATTATCGTTTCAACTCCCATATGAATACATCAAACCTAACGCGGACAACGAACAGACACGCTCCTCCACTAATTACAGCGCTTAAAACGTTGCTAAGATTATCTCCAATATGTCTGCTTACAAAAGCTCTACCTCTAAACTCGGAAACGTCCCGGCTGTGGTAAGAGGAAAAAGGCAACGGATGTTGCTTGCTCAAAACGAAAGCATTTTGTAACTGAATTGCAGAAAAAGGCTTTCCCAGACAGTTAAAAAGAGGGTCGGTGGAAGATTATATTGAATTTGATCATCCATCCATATGGTTACTGAATTCTGTAACAATGAATAGATTCTGGACAAACAGCAATAACTGCTTCCAATTATGCCCCGAAATTCAAAATGCAGACATAGTGAGCTCCCCAGTAGCTTGAAAGTGTTAAGTAATTCCCCTGCTAGAAGATGAAAACCAATATCTCATGTTCCTTCGTAAATTCAATGTACAGGTGGATCAAAATGTTTTCTTGAAGAGAAATATTCAGCTAACTTTAAAGATGATTTATCCAGGCAATTCGAACTTCACAAAGTCACAACAACTGACGATGGATTTGTGGGTACAAGACGCATCGAACTGCCATACTATAAGTCCAATGAAAGATGCGTTGGACCCAGACATGACCGATAATGCTAAATGAAATCATTTGGTAGGGGAAAGCGCCTAGCTCATGGTTTGAGTCGAATTAAGAAAAAAAAAACAAACCTTTTCGGGTGAATCACCTCCCTCGTTGAGAGCAGCCAAACGTGTCAACTGGAGATTGAGGATCCGTTCGGCAAACTAAAAAGAGAACAAGAGGGAAGCAAGACCAATGCCCTTCTTGAATTGTCATTCTCCCTTAGGACGATTTAGCCAAACTAGAGAAGCAAGTAGCACTCATTTGTTTCAACCCGACATGTCATTTTAACAGCTAAAGGGAGCGCCTGGCATTTTAACCCCCGAAATTAAATCTGTTGGTGTTAAAAATATGCCATAAAGGCACATGAGACATCCACCAGTTACCCTTTTTAGCCCATTAAAATGGGACAAATTTCAAGTCCATATGTGTGCATTAATGCATGGATGAAAGCGCGTTCTTGTTTGCAGCTATGTAGCAAAAATGCACAAGAGTCACAGGTTTCACCAGCCATTGAGATCGGCTTTAAATTATTGTGGTGTAGGTGTGCCATCTAGATGCTTTTGTCTCTCCACTGCTTGACACCTTACATTGAGTGGTGCAGGTAACGAAAAGTTTAGACACCGATTGTTCTGGATACGTCTACGCAATGACAGAGAATAATGTTTAAGAGAAAGGATGTGCAATGACTGAGCACAAAAACTAGAACATCAGCGATCAATCACAAACAAGAGATAAACAGGAAATGGAAATTACAGTCCACTCAAAATTAACAAATTATTTAATGCAGTACGAAGGAGAAGATTGTAGATTGGTAAGATAAAGTGCATTTCGAGTTTAGTTTAGGAGGTAGGTGCACCGGCACAACGCCTACTACTGGTCAAAGGCGCCACTTAGGCGTTTGCTCAAGGATACTCATAGATACACCAGAGTAGGTCAACTACCATACAGGGCGCAGACACTCTATACAGACAAAAGTAAGTGGATTGAATAAGCGTGCTATTAAACATTCACTAAATTGAGCCATAGGTAGTCATCAAAACAAACCTCAGCTGGATTGGTTGCCTCGAAGAAGTGGCACAACAGCATATCACCAGAGATCTGATCACTCTGTTGCGGAGCTTTTGAATCAGGGGTTAGCAGAAGGAGGTAGCGCGAGCTATAGTGTTCAAAAACGAATAAATTAAGCATAAAACCTGCCAGTCTTACTGTCAGCGTATGCCCGCAAAATGATACGTTTCTCTTCAAGCGGGGCTTTAAAAATCAGCATACGGAAAGACGAATGTTCACAAACACAAAGGAGGATTAGCAGTGTGATTAGCTTCCAAATCAAAGCCAAACACCAAGTGGAAGTAAAGCCTGTCATACTAAAATGGAAAACAGTTACTGATAGGAATCAAAGTTAATGAATCACCTCTGAGGAAAATGCACAAAGATAGGTTCATCGGAGAGATGCAGAAGGCGCGATAAACTCACCAGATCAGAAAAACAGATACAAAATTAGTGCGTAACAGTGAATATTTGCAGCTAATAGATGGATCACGGGCAGTCAAATGGACCGGTAAATTAGTTTTTGATAAAACTAACTCGATCGCAACAGAATATCATTTGATTTGTTTAAAGTCCAGGGTCGAAGGAAGTCCTCCAGTCTTCCGACCTTCGTACTTAATGTTACTGACCCAGTGTTCTACTAATGTCGCCACACCTCTTCCAACTCTTGAACAAATATACTGACAAACCCATTCTTAGTTTTGCAGATCTACTGACATCTTTAGAGGAAACCCGCATACTTCTTGCTTGCAATTTGCCACTTTTTAAGAGACAATGAAGTTTACAAATACTAACTTAGTAGAGGCAGTTGGAAGTGTTTGTGGTATTTGCTCTTCTGGCACTTTAAACATTGTTTCAATAACTAATGGAGAAGTTTTCATTTGCCCGAATGAGACATTAAAACAGTTTTTGACTTTGAAACCACTAATGGCCATTTGTTGCAGTTTAAAAATTACAAAATGCCTATTTCAGACATTCGTCAAAACCTTACACTGAAAAAAAAATAAGGAAGAAGTATACAGCACCCTCAACATTGGTTGAGGGAAAAAGGAAGTTAAAATCTAATGATAAGGGAAAATGCCTAGTATTCAAATGCAATTCAAACAAATCACCTCCAATTGATTTTGGCCATTGCAGCTATTTAAAATCGAATAACATTTTCCGCCAAAAGTGCACTTAAATTGTTGCTCCTTACTTCTCCCTCCCCCTCCTCCGTCCCAATGGGCATGCTCGCATAAAATGATGAAAACAATTGAAAGGATTCTATAATGACAGGCGCATAGACGCAACAAGAAGGACTTGTTATGGCTGGTTTGTAACCACAGAAACACAAATCAAACATTTACCACTGTAAACCCACCATCTAGTGAGTCAGAAGGTATTCAGTGAAAGAGAGTTTGCTGAACCTCAAAAAGGATTCCATTAAATCATTACAACTCTAAGAAATGCACTACATCAAATTCGTGGGTAGCCTAAACTCACAAATACCGGTAAGTTAAATAAACGGCAAGTTCACCAACAGGTCACTATTGACTCAGCAAATTCAATTCGACTAGGTTACTGAAAGCTTCCTATTCGAGGATCAAGGAAACAATTCAAGAGGGGAATAAGAATTAAGACTCCTCCTCCCGGTGTCGCAGATAGGACTTTGAAAACATTTTTGACCGACCAGATTAAAGGAATCAACAAATGACGCAAGTAGCATAAACACAAGACCGCAATATTGGCATAAAGTAGGAGCCACAGAATAAGCTCATCATCGATGACGGTAGCACAAAACTCACGGAATATGTCAGTGAGGGTTCAAGAAACAAGGCAAATAGACCTATAATGTCGAGAAAGGCTTATCTGATCTACTTTATTACCTGCGCACAAATCAGGCGACAAGGAGAAATCCACTAACAATAGGCTAATGAAAATACACAGCCTGGAAAAAAAATATGACGTGTGTGAATCAATGCTGCATTAAGTATTCACGAAACCCCCTCTATGGTAGTGGTGTAGAAGCTTTGTCACCGGATTAACGTGCCTGGGGCAACTCACGACAGAATCGCCAATAAAACGTGCCCTAATTTTTGACGCATACCTTTCTTAGGTTTTATGCAATTTCTAATAATGTAATGAGACAAATGATCTCCATCGATACAACCTTATTATGACTGTGATCCAATAAGAGAACGGACAATTTCACACCCAAAAGAACGCTTCTGCTACAACAAACTTGTAGTGAAACTCACTAAATGAACTCTATCCCAATGTATCTCGTCTGGGATAGATTAAAGTATTTATAAAACCCGAGTAAATAGCAGTAATGGACTATCATCAGTAGAGTAGTCGGCCTGAGAAAGCCTTTCAAACCAAAGCAAAAGAATAGCACTGACAAGCGTCTAAAACAAAGCTCGAAGGGAAAATACGCTACGTTATCACATGTTTTAATGAAGCTAACACCACTTGCACCGACAGCTCACAAATTCGTCTGTACGAATTGCAGGTAGCTCAGAATCCTATACTACACAATATCTTCCCAGTCAATCTTGGTACTAAAGGGTACCACTGGTATCAATGGAACAGAAGCTAAAAAGCTGGCGATAAAATAGAAGGTTACTTACCCGGGTTTGGCGGAATCAACCTTCACTTCAGTGCAGTGGACAATTTGGGAGAGTTTGAAGTGATCGAGGATGGTGGGAGGGGAGGAAGCGTAGGAGAGTAGGAAGATGGCATCCGGTGTAAATCGGGCCGTACAAGCTTGTCCGGTTGATGTTTCACTCGTTACTCGTTTGGATAGTACATGACTCGCCACTTCCCCCACCGAAACCTGATTAACTGGAAGTGGAACAATGTAAGGAAAATGCTATTAGCGGCCCTTGCATCCAGCTCTACTGTGTAGGTTGGTACGGTTAAGATCAGTTCAAGAAAATCTGTCTCAAGGCTTCACTCAGCGACACCGCAAAGAATATACAATTGTAGAAACGCGGATCAACTTATTCGCACCTACTGATAGATTCGCTTCAATATGCATTAGTCAAGAAGCACAATAATTCCGACCAAGAGGCGGTTCAAACTGGGAATTGCACCAATAACCGATTGCTGCAGTCTATTAATTATGACGGGTGAATATTTAAGTCTGGCTCCCGCCTGGTGCACACATCGTACGCTATAATGCATTGAAGTGTTGTTTTCAAGACGGTTGAGAAAGACAACTTGAAGTACAAGGGAAACAAGTAATTCCAAGCACTACAGTACTACAGGGTACATGAGCCAAAGCAGTTGCAGTATAGAAGAATGTGGTTAAATGGTATCTCTAACTACACATTGTTTCGCAGATCTTTTGAAGGAAACAATCATCGAAAAAACTTAGAAAATTGGCCCAACGAAAGCCCGGAGACCGGGGATGAAAGCTAATTCAAGTAAGAGGTGAACATTCCCAGGGAAAGGGATATTTATGGGTACTAGATGGACCGTGCAGCGTAAGACAATCAATACTACCAGGCGTAGTCAACAGTAATCAACGCTAGAGCCTGACTTATGCGTGGAATGAAGGACTTTTCTCGAAGAAGACAGTAAAACAAGCCAAGGAAATACACTCGCCAGCACAATGACTTCAGCTTCAAGCAAAGGACTTCGTACGAGATGATTTTACAAAATCTACCCAACAGATGGCACAAAAATGTAAAAGGTAGGAGCATTTAATAGCATAATGTAACACAACAGAATGTAAATGTGAGGCTGAGGCAAAACCTGCTAAAAATCCCTGGTTGCGTTCAGAACTATAACACAGGGCTGCGTCTCTTAGTGAGAAACAACGGTAACATCCTTATAGCGAGCATATTTCCCCCAAGGCAAGATTGTTCAATTTCTTTCGATTCTAGTAGCAAAGGCATTAAGAGTGTGGGAGAAAGAAAACCAGGACTTAGAGGAAAAATAAATAGTTCACTTGTCAGGCCTTTAGAAATGATGTCGTTAGGAAAAGCAAACCGAGGATGAAATTTACGAAAAAATAAACCCCTAATGAAATGGAAAAAAAGTAGAATTGGAAGACGTGAATGCTAGGCAAATATTTACACAATAAGAAACGATATCAAAACACAAAAGCAGTACAGCATCCTGATCTTTCCAATCTTAAGCACAAATCAGGCACGTAAGGATGAAATTGGAAAATTTTCTGATTAAAACTACATTTACAACACAGTGGGATCGAATCGCTTGCAATGAATATTAAAGACGACAGGTTAGTTTTACCATCAGATCAACAGAGTACAAATACAATTCTGTACCGACTACTGGTTCTTAAAATACTCATGCCTTGGAGGGGTCATAAGAACCCCGGGATTCCAACTGAAAGCCGTCAAAGGAGCTAATGAATAAGAGAATGATGCATTAACAAATAGAGGCCATTCGTTAAAGTGTTGTCCAAAACATAATACGTAGAAAGCCATATTTGTGAGGTGAAATTCTCGGCCAAAGAGAAGAACATGAATAAACCTCGAAACATTCCATACCAATAGACCCTTTCAAATTACAAGTAATTGATAGAAAAAAAAGATTGGAGAACATAAAAAGAAAGATGAAAATGACGCTTGAAAGGGAATGAGAAACTCACCCTAGCTCCAAATAATATTACCCCATTACATATTAAGCATCCAACTATTTGTACCATCAGTTATCACTGAGCGATGCGGCTGTTGGAGTAGTTACTGTCGACTAAAAATTCCACACTTTAGTCTTCCAAACATCAAATTGTCTGCACCACTAATTCTACTTGGATAGTAAAATGGTTGTTGACACCCAAAAAGTAAAAAAAAAAATGAAGACATCCCAAAGTACCTTCGAAAAGCCCTAAGGTTAGATCTAAAAGCTTGGTGCACACAAAGTTTAGACTCCTGAGAAATAATACATTAGTGACTGTTTAAAAGTGCCAGTCATTTGTGACACCGATCGAACCATCAAAAAAAGGATATCGCATGAATATTTAATTATAAACACATTCTTTTCCCATATTCCAAGTGGATAAGCATTGTGACTGGCGGAACGAGAGGGAAGGTGCAAGTAAGTAAAAGAAACCACCCAAAACAGCATTGAAGTTGCCTCATTGTAAATTAAGGTGTAATGAAGCTAAGGAAGTGTAGTGGGATAAATCGTACATTAAACAGAAGAAAGTGAATAACTGAATGTAAACGTTCTAAGCGAAATTTCAAGACATTTGCCGGTTTTACAACAGTGAATTAGTGCTCGTAAGTTGGTGGCAAGCTACAGTGTGTCCGAATACGCGCAAAAGACCAAAATAACTTCAAATAGGTACTCCGTTTTTACAACAGAAAATGGCAGCGCACTCCAATACCGCAAAGAAATGAAAAGTAAGCACACCTGATGGTTGATGGAACTCCCATAAATTCTAAGCATCAATGATATTCCTACAGTTCAACGTTTTTAAGAATGAATCTTATATATCCACTTTTAAGCTTGGGCTTTTCACCACTAAGTGTCGCCTATTGATGGTCGACGTTAACACAACGTGGTATTCACTGGTTTAGTACACATCGGTGGCACATGCTTTACACATGTGACAAGCGACTCAGGTAGGAAAATCGGAACGTCACACATGCATACCCCTTAAGTAAAAAGTGGAAAACCATGAGTTCAATTGAAGTTGTCACCACTGCTAAAGGATTGATCATTTAAATTAACTTATTTATCAGAATGTAAAAACAGCATTTCTGGTACTGAATGAGTGAGTCCAAAATTAAACAACACTTCAGGGAGCAATTAAATGAAGATCTCAGGAGAGATTGAATTAAAAGAGGGCCACCGTTGACCTTAACACCGTAATTTCCAGGGTGGCTATGCCTTATCGTTCCTGCAGCAGTTGAATCCATACGTGATGCAATACCCCAAATACTAGACGCATACCGTATTCATAAGTGCTGATAAAGTTCCGCCGAAAGGGCGCACGTTTCAAATGTCAATGTGAGATTTCGTAGACCAGAAAGACGCTTTAACAGAATTTGAAAGGCTTAAACCAACCATGTGCTTAACCTACAAAGGCTTTTTGAATATTGTTGCTGCGTTGGCAAATAGTGCACGTTGCAGACAGATAATAATAAAAGTATTAGACGCACAGGAGAGATAGGTAGCCCTCAAATTTTGTTAGGAATAGCAAACGAAGTTAACATTCCAGGATCTTAGTAGTGAAACAATCTAGATAAAAACAGATGGGCAGAGCCAAAGACAAGTAACATAAATTGTCTTAAGTGAAAATACCCATTATTGCACAAACTGGATTATCGGTATAGCAAGATTGGGACGTAAGTGAACCGACAGTAGGTTTAGGTACTTGGCTTGCTCACTCCCACCTAACTGAAAGAGCTCAGTGTAGTAAATTCGTTTTTAACACGAGAATTTGGGAATTCTAGCAAATCAAACTCCACATCTTCGACCACGGACACAAGCAAGGGTTCCATTTACATTGGTGTTAAACTTTGATGATTCAGAGTAGAACGAGAAACCATCGGCTACCCGAAGGGGGCATAACAACAGCAATACTCCATTGCTTGCATACCGGAGCTGTGGCTAGCTGGTCCAAACGAGGAGGATGAGTCCCTAGAACAGAAGACCAACAGGCTGGTGACTGTGAAAATTTCCGGATGCCCTGTTTTCGATGGGTTAACGGTAGGCATTCATGAGCTTCAAATAACATTTCGGCATTGCCCAAGACAGCGAGAAAGTGACTGTTTTATTTATCAAGGTTGGTAGTTTTCGCTGTGCTTATTGATAAATAATTAGTTCCCTAGACTGAATACATTTCAAGGATGCAAAGGCAATCTAACATTGCAATGAAGTAGGAATTATCAAGAATATGAGAGCAAAGGAGTTGTACATAAACCTCAGTTAAACGAATATACTAATGTGGGCTCTTAATAAGGAGGAAACAACAACTCTGCTAACAGGAAATCAATTGGAGGATTTTACTTTTGCCTATCGATTGAAAAATGCATAGAATGGAAAGGGAGTGGAACAAGTCATCTTTGCAAGTTAGCAAAGACGGCTCAGGCGAAAAAGCAGCGACAGATGGGCTTGCCTACTCCGCATCCACTCAAGGAGGCATAAAAAGCCAAATAATCAACGGGAAACATCCTAAATACTGGCTCGTGACTACTCAGGTCATAAAGCGCACTGGAAATGACAAAGGCGTTTTATAAACACGAGTGATCAACAAGTTTGAGTAATAAATCCCATTATGGGTTATGTCCCACCCAGGTTTGACGACCTCAGATACCAAGTAGGGAATACTTAGAGATGGAAATGAAGGAATAATTATTGGCAGGGGCGTGTTGCGATACTTGCCTAGTAAGTGGTCAACAGAGTCACGTTTCAAGTGCCTCCGTGAAAGCCACCTCCACAAGCACATGTTCCTGCCAGTCGGGTCAACAATAAAGTCGAAAGCACGGTCGAATGGAGGATACTCAGCTATAAGCAAATACGTCTCTTGCTTAATCCGAACTGCTAAAGGTAAGTTGCGAAGCCTAAATAATTTAAGTTTAATCGAAGGATTAAACTAAGGATTGATGAGACAATTTGAATGAATTGACTTAGCAAGTAAAATAGTGGCCAAGTTCTCCAGTGGATGGTGATTAAAAATAGAAACTCATCGGCTGTATGGAAAGGCGATAATTAAGTGAAAACAACAAAGCCTCAAAAGTGATTAATTGGCGGCAGGTATGGAAGCAACACTGGGCCTCTGAGCATACTAAGCAAGTTGATGATATTTAACACGGCACCTTTACATTTAATGAAAAGCCAAGAATTTAGCGCCTGGATATAAAAAGTTGGGTTTTCCATATTAATATACGAATAAGGGGAGGCAGAGGAGTATCCAAGCTTCAAACCACTAAAAAATTCGAGTATACTGACTCTATGAAAGCTTGATACAAGAGGGGAAAAGTATGTTGTAACCTTGTCAAGGCAAGTAAGACAGAGGGAACAAAACTCACCGAGGAATCGGGGTAGTGGCATGCTACCGATAAAGGTAAGCGCTACCTCCGATTCGGCACCTGAGTAGTGCTCAGCATCAGCTGCAGTGATTGAGATAGCAGAAGAGTCGATAGGAGTAAGTTCGAGGCAGACTGGAGGTGCCTGTGCGATCCACGCAGTGCAGGAAAGCGAGGCCCGCAATGCTCGCTCCATATCGTCCTCCTCATCTGCGCTTCCTTGACTCGCCTCCAGGGAGATCTGCGATCGCGGCACCAGCACGAAAGGTAATGGCTATGAAGCGAAGACAACAAAGATTTCAACGTTACCGATATTTTTACTAACATAAATGAGTTAAGTAAATTGAAAACTGAGGCGCCTTTCATCTGTGTAGCGAAAGCCTTTTGGCAAATCTCACAAGCCAGCTCCAGATCGCAGAATTGCTGGATTTAACGCAATGAAAAAGAAGGCCATGCAACCTCATAATTTCAAACAACAAGAGGAAACTCTGAAATCCGCCAAAACACCTTGATCAACTATAGATTTAGTGGGCAGTGTAGAAGTTCGATAATAGCTTTAAATTCAGCCTTGGCAGAATTCACTGTAGATGTATTATTTACGATGTACATTATCTTGAGTCTTTCCACGAAAGAAACCAACCCAATTAGGAATTATGAAAGGAAGGCAAAAGTGAATGCTTGACCGCAACTCGAGCGCAATAAATAGCAACCTTGTTGACAGCACGATTCGGTTAACGAATGCAAAGTCAAAACCGTTTTTCCTGTCGGAAGTATTCAAGTGTTTACGGTTAGACATGAGTAGCAAGAAAAGTTTATACGACATCAGGATAGCCGATAAGTTTCTTGCAATTAGGAATATACAAAGTAAAGTTAAACTTAACTTTGGAAGTTGTTAAGCCCTTGTCCTAACAAAACTCTAATAAGTACACAAACAATCCTCCAGCCAAGAGAGGAGGTGAAATAAGTTAATAGGATCGTGGAATTCAATTTCAGATAACCGAAAACCCATTCTTTTCGTAGATACTTTTAAATAAATCTTACAGCGGAGCAAAGAAGTACACCAATTTGAATGCCTAATAAAAAGTTAAAAGAGATTTGCGAAATTCAAGTGTCAGCCGAGTGAATGATAATCATCAACAGCTCCAGCAACTGTTTGCAGTGACAATGCAACAAATAGAGAGGGAGGGAAACCTCAAGCACTTTTCACCCAAACCTATTGAAAGTTTTAGACGAGGAAATTAGAGGAACTGTCCTTTAAGTCATAATGAAGGAGGTGAAGAGTGAGCGCTTTTAGTGGCGCACAAAATAAAGAATGGCGCAAATGGGACGCTAAGGGAGCTACGAAGTACACGAACTGCAAAGCTCGCCGCAGAGCTGAGCAAACCAGAGCAAATTACATGCATTCAGGGGATAGCAGCCATTAATTAGTGTGCACTATTCACACAAACGCTGTTTTACAAGCAAAAGTCAGAAATGAACAACATATCGTGCCCTAGGGGAAACTGTTGGTGTTGAAATATTATCATTAGACGCTTCAGGTGAGCTGGGAGCTTGACTCGAGAAGGCAAACTCAAAACGACAATCATATAATTCCTATGGTTTGTCAGAGAAAAAGATTGGTGCAATTGGGATCGCAGTCCCCCGATGCAATAGAATCCAAAGTCAAACAACGTTTTCATAACTTTGCAGCCATAAAGAAGAATACGACCATTTCAATAATGGTAGTAGAACCTTTAGTACGAGTTAGAGACCATTCCAAACAGTGGCAATGGATGCATGAAATAGTGAAGTTTAGTTTCTAAAGAACAAGGATGCCAAAAGAGTGAACGCTTGTCAACAGAATACTTCCCACGAGCTCATGAAGGCTCAGCCACGGGGTAAGATGGGTGAAGTGATCTCGAACATTTCAAAAGTAGCCGTGCATCTATCGGGAAAGATTTCGTCCCTGACCACGTCGTGGAAGATTAAATTCTGTGCAGTTCATTCGCACTGAGAGAGAATCACTGTAAGATAATGCAGATGGACTGAGGAAAATGCATGATATCCCAGTGACTTCTGGCTGCCACAAACCACATAGCTTTTGCCAAAGCTAAAGAAATAAAGTAAATGGGAGGGCGTTTTTGTTAAGAAACGATGAATTATATGAAAGCAACCGATATCTACACCAAAATCATTAACCAAAATTAATCTGTCCTTCTTGGATTGGCGAAAATTTCCTGAAAAATCTTTGTGGCACATGGAGATCAGCATTTTCGTGAAATTTTGAAGCCACTGAATTTGAACTAATTCGAATGTTTAATTGCAAGCCTCTAACCTCATTATCTCAGCCAATGCATTTACGCATGCATCAACTCGTAGTCAGTAAATCAGGCCTAACGGCATTAAAACACGTGTTAAAGAAGTCATCGCAATTCGCAACTCCTTTCATTCAACATCACTTCAGAAAGGCAGCGTATACCTCAAAAAACCTATTCCAAGTAAATACGTTAACCTCGATCATCCACCACAGATGAATCGACTGTGCTGAAACATCGAGAGACGCTGATCCAATCCTCCCAAACATCAGTGCCCTCTATTACAGAGTTCTGGATGATGCCTCCAATGAACTCACCCGGCTCACTAGTTAGATTGAGAGGTTCGGTGTTGATGGAATGCCAGAAAATTTTGACGTGAATGTAACACCCTCTGCCTTAATTCCTTCCAATTAATTCGTCTCCTCAATTGGCAGTACCGAGGTCTCCAGGAATGGATTTGCTCAAATTCTTAAATGATATACTACTAAGGAAAGACACCAATTTGGATAATACATTTATGTAGGTGGGACCTTCAGGGCCAATGTTCGAAAGTCACGCTATTCCACCTTCCTTTTGAGCATTAACGGTAATGTAAAACAGAGGCATGCCTTCTACCGCACTTTCAAGAAGGATTCAGCCACTAAAATGCTGACCACATAACGTCTCTGAAGCCCGATTTTTACGAATATTTCAAGATTATTCATTTCACGGACTACCTTCCATACTGAGTTCAATGAACTGCAATTTAAACAAGGTTCCATCTAAAAGGGCGATGATATGATTTATACTAACCTGAGGAAATCAATAGATGCTTTTACAGGTTTAAAAAAGGCTGACAGCACAACGGTATAACGCTTCCTACCTAATCAGAAATGTCTATCTGCATGTTTGTATGTATGACAATAGGTATGTTCCAATTTTCATGTTCTTGATACATTCAATGGCACGTAGTAGGCATTAATTGATTGATGACAGATCATTGACATGTCGCATTTTCTGCAGTCATAGCGCCTAGGACAATTCTTTCGCGCGCAAAGACACAAAAAATTGCAAAGGAAACCGAATGCAAAAGGAGTGAGAGAAGCGAAGGGAAAGGAGATGCTTCTAATTTAGAGTCTTTCAAATCGAACACACCATTACACCTCGAGTAAAAAAGAAAATGAATGCCGAGTGGTAAAAGTTACTCCAGCTCCTAATGAAAGTAAAATGTCGTTCCGTAACTTAGTTTTGTTTTAATCTAAAAGGAGTAAAAGCTCGTCTGTGGCAAATTAAGTCGAAATGCAAAAATTGATTACGAAAAACATCGAAACGAAGGGGTTATATCCTACATTAAATTGTGAGTTAATTTGATTATCTTGCACTATTTTCTTTTCAGGCAAGAGAGCCTCATTTCTCAGGCACACTAAAATTCAAGAAACAACCAACAATACCACATGTACGAGGCACATGCATAATTATTGGGATTGAGGTGTGGGGAAAAGCAACAAGCTGTAAACCCTGAAAAGTGTAACTATAAATTTGACAAGGCTGATCTAGTCATAGATCTGAGCCAATAAAACAAAGTAGGATTGGATAAAGGAAATGTAACGTACATCCACTGGCTTCGGTTCCGGAGGCGGTTGACCTTGAGCAGTCCAACTGCTTGTGTTTATGATGACATTTGAGATGGTGTGAATCCACTAAAGAGGAATGAAAAATCTCGTAATATCAACACATGCGCTAAAGATTTCGAATGCACAATGGCTGAACGGTAAATTACACCTCGAACCCAACTCTATACAAATAAAAACTACTGAGTCCATTGGGCCTTTAAAATCTTGAAACCGGGAATGCATCCATCCCTGCACCGAAAGAGTGGATTTATTTTATATAACTTCTTGTAATGACAAGAGCAGGTACAATTCATTGCTTCAAAAGAAATGATTAGTTCCTCTTGACTCAAAAAGAACAGAGGACCTGTTATTTTCAGAAAAATTACGCAAAGCATAGTTGCACCAGTCGTAGGATATTATGTGGAACGCACAGCTGCTTTATTAATGGGTAGCTTGACCACCATCATAGCTTTACGTATCAAAATACCTCTGTCTATGATTGTAATGATGATCTGAAACGAAGTATAACAACAACAGACCATGAAGGATGTCCTGACTGCACAAACTATTATACGATGGCCGTATTTAGTCACTACAACGGGCTAAATTGACGCATAAGTTCAGGAACAAATTATGACACCAGAGAAGGGTTGAAAACTTCTCACACGCCTTGTAAGAACTATCATCAACGACGCGTTCTTTCGATAACCAATGGCTTTAAATAGAAGATGGCGTTACAAATAAACTACCTTGTCTAATATTGATGCATCATGTTGACCATGCAAGTGATAATTCAACAACAGTTACTCAAAATAATTAAGTAGCAAACAACAAACCTCATCGCGATCTGTTGAGTTCTCGGCTTGAAGAACAACAGTTCTGCAAAAAGCAAAGACAAACAGGATTGGATGGAAAATCCCAGCAAATTGGTTTACACAGGCCACAGCAGAGGGTAGGAAGTGGTCCCGAATGGGGAGTAGACAAGAAAGGGAAGGAAAAGTGCGTGGCTTACAGCGACTGATGTTGGGGTTCGGAGGAAAAGAGGGAATAGATGAAGTTCGGCTCCTGATGCTGTTACTGTTTCTTCACACTGTCAAATACCACTTCAGTAGATGAAAAATATGACACCAAACAGCACAAAGGGGAGAGGGACGGGAAGAATCGAATTGGCCACGTGTTGTGTTAACTGACTCACCGCTTCTCAGCTGCGGAGACTATCTGGAAGGTGTACCTTCGATCGTCGATATCCACTGGTTCTGCGAAGACACCCTTTCCATTCAGATTAACCAGAACACCTGCACCTAGCTGTTCATGCGGGGTAACGACGATAAAGTCAAAAAGAAGAATCAAATTAAGTAGTGGCTTTCGGCTACCACATTATCTCAATTTAAAGTTAAAGCTATTGAAACTTTAACAAAGTAGGCTCACAGACAAAGTTGCTTCCTTATGCGAAAAAATGCAGTGTTTAAAAGGACAAACAAGTGGCAGAGACAGTCGCTCAAATTTGGATAACCATGAAATGTTGTTGATTTTATTTTTGTGGTGATTAGTTGAGAAGAGAATTGTGGACTTTATACAATAACGAATGGACCCCATTCAATTGCATTCCGAGACATGATGCTATTAAGCAGGAAGTATCCGAGTTCACAAGCACTCTAGATTGCCAGCTCAACGATAATTTGCCCGTAAGTGCGTGCTCCCCAAGGAGTAGTGTTCAAAGTGAATAGTGTTATGAAAAATAAGAAGACCACGGGTGCTTATCACCAAGGCAACGAGCCAATTTGCTACAATAGTAAATTGGTCTCGTTTTCGAAGGGTTGATCTTGATTAAAATGGGAGACTTCATTCAGAATTGAAGTGGGTGGCATAAAAATCGAAACTCTACCATTCGCATCCACAGCAATGCGGACGACAGTAGGCGAGTGTAAAAAGAGCCCAATTTCGCTGAAATATCACATAAACAGGTACAATTTACTCTGGGTAAATGAAGACAGTTATTTATAGAGACCGAAATAAAAATAGACACTAGATTTGATGGTGTGAACCACTCTTAGTTCCAAGGTGCGATGAGCCAAACGTCAAGGGGATAAAATTAATCGCGTCGACAACCAAGGCGTTTGTCACAACAAACCTATCCTTCTTGGCGAACTAACAAATCTAAAATTGTCCACTCAATACAGCAGTGTGGTCCAGAAATAATGTGTGACCGGACAAAGAATAGCTCCACTTATGGAACTGGTGATGAACGCTAGTAGTAAGTAGCCGTTTTGAGGTAGCTCTTCAGCATTTACTTGTTCCGCCGCCACTGCCAATGCGTGGAGGTCCGCAGCAACGCATGTTATGGTGCCATCGCAAAACAGTGAGCTGCAGGATGTCCCATCAAAAGGAGTACCATTATGAAATCATATTTTACCTGTCAAAGGGTTGACAACATGAACGAGCCTGTTGTATACACATCACCTCACACAATTGGCAACAATTGGAAGCAGTATACCATGGTGAAATGTTTTACCCAATAGGATGGCAAGTGTTATGAACTTTTATTTCCTAGCATCACTGTCCGCATTCTTCTACCAGTACCGACTATTTTCTTGATCAAATTGTTTTTCGCTTAGGAGAAAATCACTTCAAACAATAAAATGATGGTGGAGTTACACCTTTGATCTGGGTAAGATAACTAAAAGGATGTATCCTTCCTTGAGAAGTAATCATTTTGCTTACAAGGTTCCGGCAACGAAATTTCGAGGTACTATCAACGTGGTGGTTGAAGCATTTGGATGTCTAAAGGCTAAAGTGTTGACTTGCTCCTTTGAATCGAGAAGGCCCGTGGAAGTGAAGTTCAACACCATGGTACTAGCTGGTAGTTTTCAAACTTTCAACGAACCGGCGAAATGAGTGATCTGCTTCCCAATGTTATATATAACATTGGCTCACCTCGGTTCGATCCGCTTAAATGAGTCTTCTCAGGATGAAGAATTATCTCTCACAATTTGTCGAAAAAGTGAGCAAAGGGTCGAAAAGGGCACTTCTAAAAGGAGGACCAAGGATATCATCTAGCGAAAGGTGACAGAACCATTTTATGAGAATGGGGTTTAACGGTGCTGCTAACGTCTCTAGTCCTCCAAAGTAATAGCACACGAAGTGTACATCTCTTCAGCCTTTTTCCTTTTTGAAACTAAGGACAGGGTTGAAACGGGTTGCGATACAAAGCCTACAACATCGTTGTGAAGACTTATTCATCTAATCCGTATTCGATAATGGATAGAGAGATGGTAATAATAACTTGCACCATCAAGGGCGCTTCTTCGAAAGTATCTAAGAGGTACGCTGACGGTGTCTCAAGTATATAGGAATATCACGCTAACAGTGTGAAGTTGTGGTCACCTTACCACTTGTGGCCGATCAGTCACACCCTCCACGTGCGAAGTCTCACAACCCTTAAGTATGCAGCCACTTAAAGTAGTAAAATAATGCATTTCACACCTTCATGAGCCAACTCAGACGTTCAACCATCTGCTACAGCGAACTCCAGGCTGCAAAAAAAGCTATGAAGAGGAAGATGACAGCAGCAACATAGGCAGAGACTTACATCTCCCTTCTGTTGGCATAGGAGATTCCCACCCTGGGTAAAGCAGTAAACTTCATTCCAATCAAAACCAAACGTCTTCTTCACTCGCATGTAGAGGTAACCACTTTTAGAGAGAAGATTCGCTTCTGGTGTACGCAGATAAGACTTATCTAAAAGCCCGTAGAGACTTGAGCTAGGCGACGGAGTAATAAAATTCAGGAAGGGAAGTAACGGAAGCTTATCGTTTCATTTTTTCTACGAACCAGAACAGACCTTGGATGCAAAATACAAAATCACTTTGAGCTTGAAGTTCAGACTTAGATAAGAAAAATGACAACTCAAAAATAAGTTGTCGAAAACCGAATTTATGTAAACAAGCATAACCAGGTTTATTCCTTCATACAACAAGAAGTAAAAGTTCCTACCTGATTTTGCAAAGAGTGGCTCAGGTGCGAAGAGAGCCAATGACTGACTTTGAATGCTGGTGAGAGTGTTTAGAAACTCTTCGGTCGCTTGTGTAGACTGCACCTGTCGGCTTTAATGGAAAAAGGAAGGCTATGATAGACTTGCGGCAATTACTCGACCAAATAACCAGCAAGGTTTACCAATCGAACTGAGATTTGATGACCTCAGCGAATTCAACCAGCGAGGGCTGTTCCACTACCTCGGCTATTTTTTTACAGTGAATGCGCAATGTTGTGAGAAAACCGAAGAAGGCATTGAGAGGTATCATCTCACGCTCAAAGTGCGCTGCGTTGAGACGCGCATGGTAGATGACTGCTGCTTGCTGGAACATTCGACGGCGCTACAGAACACAGAACAGAGGCAGTATGCCAGAGGGCGCTTGGCAAAGATTCATGCAACCAGAGGACTGGGAAGATGTAAAGCCAGTTGCGAATAAGGGAAGAGGCGTTACGATACCTGCATAAATGTCGGTAAACTAGCTTGTACGAAGACGTCTAAGTTCTTTTTCCGCTTATATCTGCTAAAGAGTACTAAAAAAAACCACCTGATCCTCCTCTGTCTCACAGTTGCAACGAGAAGTACGCGATGTACTCCCATGCTGTGTGGAATTGACGGATTGGGCTCAGGGTGGCTAAATCACCCATGGCCCAAGGGCAAGTTTAGATGGCGATTCTTTACCAGTCCTTGTTTCACAGATGCCACTATAGCGCTTTAATCAAAACAGTTCCTTGCTGATCCCTACGTAGTCAATTATTTTAAGAGTGGCCAACCGCTGGAAGATGGTAAATTGATAAAAAATAAGCCTGTTTCGGACCTATTCCAGATTATGCCCGTCCTAAAAAGTCGCAAAGAGCTAGAACTCGAGGAAACACAAAGGTTTGGTGGATCGTGCATGAGAACGCGGCGAACAGGAAGAACAAGAAAACGCCAGCTGAATGGGACGGACACTTTGTATAGCCTACTATGCTCAGTAAATCAAGGATAATGTTAAAAGACGAAATGACTGCTGAAGAGGCATTTTGAAGAAAATTTAGGACAAACGTTCACGACCCTGAAGCACCTCTAAAGCCAAAATTGGCGTACTTCCTATAAGCCCAAAGAAAAACATTTCTTGGTATGAGTCAGTTGAAATTAGCTACGTTTTCCGTTAACAATACTCGCAGGCATTTCCAGGTGTCAGACAACGAGTTAAAAACAGAAAAGAGCACCACCATAAACAGCATAAGGAAAGCAAATACATTTATGCTGCTATCATATCAAAAATTTTAATGACTAAAAGCCTCTAAGACCATCCTGATATTGTGCAGAAACCACTATTGCAGCCTAGCAAGACGCAACCTCTCGAAAACGTTTTGGTTCTGGAGGCAAATGACCTAGCCATATTAGCTTCAACCTCAATTTTGTTTAAGCATTGTCTATTTCACATGGAAATGAAAATAGTTATCATTTCCAGAAGGAATGGCATCGGAAGAATGTGAAATAGCATCCCTTCCCATTCCACCGTAAGACGGAAACCTCCCAATAACTATATTTTACTGTGATAGATCTTGCATTGCCCAGCAAGAAGCAAAATATGGAGTCCCCCCACCCATTCACCAGTCCTAGCTTTTCTGAGGCGAAGTCTGTGGCTAGAAATCATTAGTAAACAAATAGTGTAAATGGGTAATATCCTATTAAGCTGAAAATAAGGATAACTAAAATAAAAAGTAGACCAAATTGTTGAAACATGCCGCTGCAACAGTACCGCACATAGTAAGTAAAAAGTTTGTTCTGTTACAAGGATTTGATGCATATATCGTGGATGGATCTAGACGCTAGTAATCAAGGCGTCAAAGAACAGTAGTTGCCCGTATGTGGGGAGGTGTATAGCGAACTTTCTAGTGAGACAAGACCCAAAACTTGCGCCAACAGAAGACCCCAAATGTAGCCTCTCGAGTAGATAGATTGTACAGGAGACGGTGAACACGATCACTTATGAATATTTGGAGTCTCAAGAAGGTATTGTACGATGCGCATTGGGACAGAACTTCAATTTTACCAGAATAGAAGCTGAATAATGCAATGAGCTGGAGGAGAGATTATTTACGTTACATCTTGGAGGAACTCGGACAGAAGTGAACCACCTTATCTTGGAACCGAAAACATCAAAGCAACGAATGTATGAGAACTGGGAGTTTTAAAGACGAAATTGAGTAATCTGCAGTGTTAATAAAGGTGCATAAATGTACATGTCTATTTTAGCTTCAAAGCCATTAATATTACGCACTCGAAAAGAATTCAATTAGTCAAAAATATCATTTGTTAATAGTAACTTAATAAATCAGCAAAACACCAACAAAAGACCTAGATAAACCTAGGAGTTTTAAGGCTTTCATAAAAGCACTTGAGAGAATACTTACGAAAAATTGGAGCACCTAATCCTAACATTACCGAAAACCTATTGTCGGAGGTTTTAAACCAGCAAACGCGCCCGGAAGTTTGATAATTATCAGACGTAAAGAGTCCTTTGGGATCGTACCCCAAACATTCCACTATCTTTCATCGCCCAAGAATGATTTAAAAGCTATTTGACGCACACGTGAAAGTTCGAGTACTACATCATCATGTTCCTTAGGTGCACAGCGACGAGTGAGACGCATGTAGCGGGCGAGAGAAGCATGCACCTCGCGTTCGCAAGCTTCGCGGTGGCGCTGGGTGGCTCGCAAGTCAGCGAAAAAAAGGCTCGTAACTCCACCTCCGCCATCCCCTCCTGTTCCTGCGACGCCTGAGTTGTCAACCAACTGCAAGCCCGGCTGGCTCGGCAGTTTGTGCGCGGGTAGAAAGAGAGTTGAGCGCAGTTCCTCTGCCTCTGCCCGATGCATTCCAGAGAGCTACGAGAGGAACCGAGAGAATGAAGTAAGAAGCACACGGAAAGAGAGGAAGGAAGTGGAGATGTGACGTACCTCTTCAAGAAAGCTAGAGAACTGAAGACAGATGCTCTCAAAATCCGGGTTCTTTGGCTGCACGGAAAGACTCTAAGGAGGAGGTAATCAAACTAACCTAACATCAACAGCTAAAGGGAACGTTTGTCTGAATCAATTCACGAAACAATAACAGAAAAGTGATGATAATAAAAAGGGCAATCAATAACGCAATGCAAAGAAAAAGGCACTTGATAAAAAAGATAAAAACGGTACCGACACTCCATTGATAAAAACAAGAAACGTCTACAGAACGTTTCATTTGCAACGTTCCCAAGAAAAAAGCTTACCGATTAACAAATATATCAAAAAGTACTTAGTTCATTCACAAATTGTAATAGGTAAAGAAAGGTGAACTCTCTAGATCCAAATGCAACACCTGCTAGTTTGGACTTCGCATTGTTCAATGTCTTGAAAAAGACATTGAAGGCAAAATTATCGAAGATAATTAAAGTGACAGGAATAATATTAGTATGAAAATAACATTTCTGTCTCATTTGCCCCGTGCTAAACCAATCAAAAGCTTCATTTAATTATTAAACCCACACAAACAGATAATGGCTGTTTCGCAGCCCCAGTAGACGACTGATAACTCACTTTACTTCCAATGAGTCTCGAAATTTCTGACATCTGCAGGTAGCAATGTGCGAGTGTTTCCTGAAGTCAGATTAGGACCAAAATAGGCCAAAACTTTACCTGAGCCTGATGAATGTAGGAACAGGCCGTGTTGAACTCGCGTAGCAAGTGACTGATATCCTGAGCATCAGCTGCAAACTGTGTAGCGAGCTGTTGAGCCTATGTAGAGAAAACAAGCAGAGTAATGAAGAAGTGGACAAACGTGTGGAGCGTTTGACATAGCCTCCTTAAGGCGAAGAAGCTCCATTTTAGAAGTTGAAGCGCAAGTGTTAATTGGATCCTAGAGAAATGAAAAAACCATAAAATCAGCAAAAATTAGTTAAAACTAGGCTTAGCAGACCCAAATCCCAAAGAACCCGAGTAAAATGTTTAAAAAATGAGCAAACACGAAAGGGTATTAATCAAATTTATCATAATACCAGCGGTCAGTTGATGAACAGCACCCTTGCTTAATTCACTCCCCAATATGAAACAAAGCGTCATGTGAGAATAAATGTTAGATACTGCGAATGGTCGAAACCAGACTAAGGACAGTGATTTAAGCATAATGCTTCTCAAGCGTTAGTTAAAGCTAATTACAGACCCAGTCTACATGTAAAACACGACAAACGCTTGGCAAGCAAATAAAACTGATATCAATAGTGAAGGATCGAACTAAATTGCCGCTGCAAAAATGCATGACGAGTGTGGAAAATATATAAATGATCACGGAAATAACGGCACCCAACACCCGACATTGGAAGCCAATCAGCGTCAAGAGACAATTATTTAATTTTATCCGATGGGTGTTGAAATGGCTAAAAGAGTTACAAACATAATTCAGCTATTTTTATTAATTAATGTGACGTGCCTCCTTCTCACGATCTAACTATGTTTTGGCGCTGTTTTCATCGATCCTTAAAATATATGGCATGTTTTTTTAAAATAGGTCTAAAAGGAAACTTCATGTCTCGGAGCGTAAAAGATGTCGCTGCGTCCCAAAGAGTAATGCACTGCCATTTTAAGACTACCTGCTAGGCACGCAAAGTCATAAGACCCCACTGGATAAGTATATTTAGATAGAAAGCACTGAGCAGGACATTTGGATCCAGCTTACTCGCAAAAGCATTACGGATGGCATAGTGACCACCACCTATACCGGTATTTGAAAGATCGAGGCTTTAATTGGCCCTGTAACGCTTTGTTTATGTGACTACCTAAGATTCAATAATCACTTTAGGATTTTCTGGCCCTTGTACACGTGGGCTAGTCTTCGAGCCATCCACAGACCCATTTGTTCTGTCTTTTTCATGAGGCATGTATTCAGCTGTACTTATTGACTTCTTATACCAGCTAGGAAGTCCCGGGCGCTACGGGCCCTCTTTTCTCTTAAGAGAAATTCGTGGCACATCCCTCTAATGAATTTTTAGCAATACGTCATCGCCGCTGAGAGAGACATTTATGAGGCAGACGCGCCAGCCATCGACACCCATTTGACAAAAATTTATTCCAGTACAATGTGCCCAATTTGTCTCGGTTGGTTTAAATGTATAGTGAGCTCAAAAGCACACGCACTTTATTTGCGCTGGAAAATTGTCCTAAAGGATAAATTTCATGACTAAATACCTTTTAATAACGACCATGCTGTAGGGACGTAATGCCTCCAGCTGGGTAAAAGAAGGCATTATGCTGAGCAGAAAAAGTAGTTGTTTACCCCAAAAAAGATTTTTCAGGCAGTCGTTTTTACAAAATGCTGACTATAATATGGTGTTTTTGCGTATACAAAAAATAAATAATATTATATTTAAAATGGTTTATTTTTATGCTATTATATTTCCAACCACACTGTAACGTAAGCCTAAAATATTACTTGCGCTAATCTTCTTATTCGGCTTGATTGGACATGTTTTTGTCAAAGGATTTAGGCGATGTTGTTTGTATCTACGTTGTATAGCCGCTGCTGTCAAATCTGCTCCCTTGCATTTGATTCGCGTTCTTCTTGTTTCGCCGTTTTCTTCAAATTCGGGTCTACGAGAATGCCTATCTATCACTCAACGAGCGATAGAACTCAGCCAGCGAAACGCTTTTTTTTCAATGCTTTTGATAGTAATTGAAATTTTATTGCTGTTTAACTTGCAGGCAATGCAAGAACAATTGCAGACCTGTCGTTTGAAAAGGATCATGTTAAACTTCGCGAAGCAGTCTTTGCAGTCATTCACAATAAACGAATCGAAGACACTATGGAACAGCTTTACAGGGTAATGAGTCGTTACTTATTACTTGTAAGCGTGTTGAAAATCTAAAAGATGTGTCGATGATAATTAGCTTATACGAGACTCTTCAGTCAATTTTTGCAGCCTATGCAAATGAATTGCTGCCGATCTTTACACAATATCCTTTTATTGGTTTTCGGACTTTTATTTACCACGAACATATGCTAACCGTATTTATCAGGGAACGCGTTTGCCGTAATATTGCGTGATTTCCGACTTCCTTTCTTTCCTTAACTGTTTTTGCATACTGAGAACATGGATCTTAAAAACATTTCACTTGGATGGGACAGCTACTGTCAAAAGATGGTGAGTCATCATTTTTTTCTGGGTTTTCATCTTTTGCAGTGTGAAGGTGGTATGACTGTTTTTCATTTTCAGCTACTGATACGTAGTATCTTCTTATGTATGGATCAACAACTGCCAGCGATCAAACCAAACTCTCCACAGCTTTGGTGTGTTTTGACGGCTTTATGTTAAGTCCTTATCGGTTCCTCTATTTACATTATTTTATTTATCCTTCAGGGATATGGCTTTGAAGCTGTTTCGCGACACTATTATAATGCATGATTCTGTGCAGTCTAGAATCCTTGAAAGGTTACTTCATTTGATCCGTCAGGAGCGATGTGGAGCGAGCATAGAAAAGGGTTTGCTTCGATCGATTGTTCGAATGTACTCAGACCTGGATGTGAGTTTACTTTTAAAAATATTTTTCCTTTACGTCGCTCCACGCAATTTGAGTATACCTTTTTATCTAACAGCTCTACCATTCACATTTCGAAGAACCTTTTGTTCGTGAAAGTGATACTTTCTACAACGAAGAGGGTCAATCTCTGAGCCAAAGGCTGAATATATCTGAATATCTTATTCATATACATAGGCGTATTGAAGAGGAGGAAGAGCGAATTAAGGTATTTCTTGCTGGTCTGACGCGAGCTCCGCTCATGTCTGTTCTAAATACTGAGCTCATATCGAAGCGTCTTCCCGTCCTCCTGTCGTCCTTATCGAGTCTTATTCTCGAGCACAGGTTTAAGGAGCTTCGTCTACTCTATAATCTGCTCTCAAGAATCGATAATGGTATCAGCGACTTACGGAATGAGTTCAAATCTATCGTCATGCGTGTTGGCACTGACATTGTTGAAAATAAAGAAGATGCTATCGAAAAGGATAGGGAGATGATTCAGCGTCTATTGGATTGGAAAGATACACTGACGGACTCCATCAAAGAGGGGTTTTCTGATGTTCCTTCCTTTAGTCGAGCGGTACAAGACGCCTTCGAAGACTTTATCAATCGTCGACCAAATAAGCCGGCTGAATACCTCGCCAAGTATCTTGACAATCAATTACGGTCTAGCAACAAGGCTCAATCGGAATATGAGTTTGATCGACTTGTAGATAAGGTTTTGGTGATCTTTCGTTGCATAGACGGAAAGGATGTGTTTCGAGCTTTCTACTCTAGTCAGTTGGCCAGGCGCTTGCTTCTGGGTAGAAGTGCCTCCGTGGACGCGGAGAAAGCAGTCCTCTCAAGGCTGAAGCATGGTTTGTTGCATTGTTAGCACTACTTGTATGTGGTCAGTAGTAAGGTCGTGTATTTTGCTGTTGCTTTTACAGAATGCGGTTTTAATTACACACGCAAAATGGAGCTTATGTTTCAGGATATCCAACTCAGTCTCGAACTGAGCAGAAGTTTCCGTGCACATCAGACGGAACTCTATGCAATCGACTTCACTGTTAATGTCCTTGCCCCCAGCTCTTGGCCCGAGATGCCTTCACTCATGGCCAACTATCCTTCTGAGGTGGGATGCAAAATTTCAATCAAATGCACTTTTTGAACTTAGATGCTGACCATTCGAGAGGATTTTGAAAGTTTTTACATCGCTCGACATAACGGGAGAAAACTAACGTATATTCCCTCTTTTGGTACCTGTGTCGTTAGAGCTCAGTTTCCCTCTGTGAGTTTACGAACTCTCGCTTTATTTTCACCCAATTTTATCAATTAGAAGCTCGTCATACTGAATGCTTAAATTGGATTAGAGCTAGTTCTGATTCCATTTACCTATGTTTGGATTTTACCACAATTTTGATTTGATCAGCAGGTAATGATGTTTAAAGTACCAGATCGTTAATGTTTACTCTTTAACTTTGTGCTAGTAGTAAGTGTATAAATGTCACAAAATAAAAGTCAGTTGAAACTTGGGCTGAATTCCCCTGATTTTTCGATTTACAGTGCACGAAGGAGTTGCAAGTCTCTGAGATTCAAGCACTTGTCCTACTCCAATTCAATGGGCCGGCGGATGAGCCAGTGTCCTACACCTCCATTGCTGAAGCGACGGGAATAGAGAAATCTTCTTTGGATCGTGCTCTTCTTTCATTCGCTGCAAGCAAAACCCAACGTGTTCTCGTATCAGTTCCATTAGTACGTGTATCTTATTGTTAGAGTGGTTGCTGCTGATTTTTTTAAGTAGCAATGCTTTTGCTGTGAATGGATCAGTCCTTTTCTTTTCAAGACCTCGGAATTGACAGAGAAAAACCAGTTTTACTTCAATAAGAAGTTTACTCACCATCTCACACGCATTAGATTTAATCAACTCCAGCTCAAGGAGACGGTAGGTCGAGTATACCCCAAATTTATGGTTCAGCCCCAATCTACTTTGATGCTTACTCTGCGTGTTCGTTGTTTCCAGGCCAAAGAGCAAAAGGCTACTGAGAATCGCATTTTCGCAGATCGGGTTAATCATATTGACTGCTGTATCGTGCGAATAATGAAGGCTCGTAAAACTCTTGATCACAATAACCTCATTTCTGAGACTTTTCAACTTCTGAAATTTCCTGTCACGGTTAGTTTTCTTCCTCTCTTTGTTCATCATTACTCTAAAAATTGGGAACTTGAAATCTTTTTCCCGAATCTATGAATTGGGCGTCTTTTCCCAGCCGAGTCATTTATCTTATATTTATTTCAGGTTTTTGAGCTAGTTGCATGTCACTGTTTTGATAGTTTGGATTTCTGGTTTTAATGCTTCTAAATGATCTGATGTGTGTTTATTAACTTGATTTGTTTAATTTTCTGTGTTTCGCAGCAAACAGATGTGAAGAAGAGAATCGAGTTTCTTATCGGTAAAGACTACTTGAGAAGAGATTCCGCTAACAGCGCCATTTACCACTATGTGGCCTAGGTAGGTGTGGAGAGGGGGTCAACGGATCATACAGCTTATCCTCATTGTGTTACTTCTTTCTCCTCCTGTCTTTCCTGTTCATTCACTGTTCCTCCTGCCATTCACGCCTCCACTCTTGTACAGTCGCTACACAGTTCCTTACATTGATGACTATACCTCACTTTTGCCCTCCTCCCCACCCGATGTTGCAGTAATAGTTTTTGATAAGCAACCGGCTTTGGTATTTCTACTATTTGTCAAATTAGGTTTTGACACCTGTTTGATCCGGAACCGCATTTAGCTGACCTCCCGCTACGGAGGCATGATTTGTCTTTTTCAAATATTAGTTGTAGATATTTCTGATGTGCGTTGACTATTGTTCAAATTACATGTTTTAGTTCAGTCTGGCGTCAAATATGTGACGCTTCCGCTCATTCGTCATTCCACTGAAACTGGTCTTCTCCCTATTGTCTCTTTTTTAATTGTGATTAGACGCAACAAGTACTCATCCATGCACTTTATAGACACCTTCTTTGGCACACGAAGTAGGTTGTAGAAACATGTGCTTAGAACTTTTGCTCTATTGATGGCTGATTCAATTATTGCTTTTGTGTTCTCGACGTATGCTCGTAATTTTGCTAAAACCGGTGCCGTAAGGCCAGAGGCCGGAGCGTGATGGTGACTGTGACTGTGTGGCGTGTTTTGCAGGCATCTTCATATTCTCGTGTAGGGTGTATAAAGACCCTCGTCGATGAACGTCAATGAGCGCTTTACTACGTCCGTGGTAACCTCACTTTCTCATCTGGCTACTATCCAACTATCCCCCTCAACATCAAAAACCCTTGAAACCCTACCGCGCCACTTTAACGGGACAGTTCACGAGAACCTTAAGTCAATTGAGTATAATGAAAATCTACTACAAACTGACTGAAAGCTGGGCTTGGCTTAACCATGGAAGATTGTGGGGATCCTTTCATCGAATCGAATGCAATGCTGCGATTGTTGACTTTGTGGCTCTCGATCGACTTTGACAGTCAGGGGATTTAAATTTTGGCACCGATATTTGTTCAACATCATCGATCGTATTACTGTACTGAAATAGTAGTCTGCTACTGGAACGGTCTAAACTAACCAAATTTGACGCAGCTGAAGATGGAATCCAGACAGCTCGAGAGATGATAGTACATGCTAACTCGAAGGTTTTCCCATAGAGTTGCTTGACTGTTCTGTTAGTGGCCTGAGACCGGAAGTGAAGTCTGACAGCGGTCGAATGCAGCGTGTGATTTGGCGGTGATCATCTAATGTGATATGTGACTTTTGTGATGGTGCAAACTGAAATAAATGGAGGTAATTGGGCATTCTGGCTTCAATTCTCTAAAAATAATTATTGGTAAATGTAAAGGAAGCCTTTGGTGGAGGACCCAAGAGTAATGCTAAAATGGAACGAAATGAGTGTGGCGTATTGGACAATATTCCGGGATCTTCGTCTGAAGTCGTCTCCATGCTAACCAACCTGAATCACCTACGATGGTATCCGAGCTATAACAAACGTGCGTCTGATGATAGTCGAACAATAATAATGGTTAATGTGGCTTAAGGTATTACTTCCAAAGAGACCTAAAAGTTTCCTGATTCAGGGATGATCGGTTGCTTTTTCCTCCGACTGCGGTGCGGGAACTGTCTCCCCAGACGCAGCGGAAACAGATGGGTAACAGCAGATTGTAACGAAACGCGGCCTTTGGGCCGTCTGCCGTTTGGGGAATAGAGAGGGAGGGAAGGAGGGAGGCGGTGAAGGAGGGATGTGGTTCAGCAAACCACAACAGATGTGCGAGACAGGTGGATACATTGGTGGACGACTACGGGGGTTGTTGAGAGAAAAACAAAGTCTATAAAGTGATATCGCAAACTCAATAAGATAAAATTTAGGAACTCCGGCTCTATTAATAAAATGATTTCTATGCATTTAGCAGAACAGTTTCCATTTTCAATGAACCACAGTAAAAGTGAAGGTGAGAAGGAAGCTATAAGGCGTTGAATTTTAAAGGAGTAAAATTTGGACGTTGCGTATCACCTTGAAAAGCGATAGTTAGAATAAAAACGATGCAGGTAAGAGTTGGTGAAAGCACCCCGAAACGGGAGTTCACTTATTCGCCTTTCGCATTGCTAAGCACAATAAAGCAATAATAACCAGGCAGAATGTGGAATGGCGACGTGCGTGGAAGAGAGCTGAGAACCTGCTGGTATAGTCTTAAAATGCAATGACCTAACGAAAACACAAAGGCGGAGTCAGTGGAACAATCGAAGCATTACACATTGTCTCTTATTAAAGGCGCCGTTTTTGTTATGCTTTGTGTGTAGACGGAGACAATGTTTTTAGGTTACTGGGTGAAGTAGTAATGAAGCTATGCAGTGAGGTTTGCCTTCCCTTTGGGAGGAAAGTGCAAACGGCTAGCAGAGCTGCAGACTACGTCCAGAGAGGCCCCACCAAGGGGTTCCCCTTCAATTCAATAGATAGCGCTAAGCACTTAAATGAATAATTGGAAGTTAGCAAAAGCCACTGCAAGACAATTTGTTGTTTTGAACACACTTGAAAAAAAATTAGCAAAAAAGGATAGAAGATCAACGCCAACGGGATTAAAGTATGCATCTTTTCTTGACACCAACCCCGTCGTCGTCTCCGAGTGAATGCTGAAAAGGCAACTAACTTTAAAATGTTCAAATAGGACGGCCTTTAGGACGCAGGGATCTTTTGAACGTGTCCAATCGAAGCAGTTTAGGCGATAAAAACTTATGCATTTCAGCGTCCACATACTTCGATTTCATTTTTGGGCTTTTTGGAAACCTTCAACTCATTTTTTTCTACTTCCATGACCATTTTTTTGCCTAAAAGTGTTATTTGGCCCTCATTACGAAGGTGGTATTGAACGAGGTGAGGGGTTGTAATTGCAATTATTCCATTAGTCCGTCAACTGTGTTTCACAACACCTTGAGGTTGCAAGAGAAAACTTCTTAAGAAATAGCCACGGCAAATATAGCGATAGGGAAGACTGGTGCCCTAGAGCGGCACGAGACTTCGAAACGGATCTAAAGGAAGATATTGTGTCTTGGAATGGAATGAATGCAGTGTTTTGTTTTAATGCATCGAACGATGTTTGTGCCGCCAATGCGGAATAGCCGCTGCATTGGGGTTAAAATCGGAGCCTTGTCTGTAAGCAAAATCACAAAACATCAAATGCGTTGCATTTTTCGACTTTGTACCAAGCTTGAGTCCACCTCTTAGTCAAGTGAAAATTATCTGCACCTCTCAACAGCGAGATATTTTGTGCTCTCTTTTTCATATTTCCCAAAATAATGAGCTCCGCCTTTTTTGCCGTATCCAAATGTAGACGTTCAAAACGGACAGCTATTTGCGTGAGAAGTAGAAAAGGTAGTTATGTAATAAAAGTGAGGTAGGAATGGAAGTCATGTCCCTTTTGCACAAGAGCCCGACTAACAGTGGAGGGTGAAAGGTGATGATCGTGACAATGTCAGGGTATTCAACGAGCCTTTCTGCATGCCTAAATGTGCTTCCACTAGCCCATGCTATGCGATCTATTTGTTAATGAGCTGGAAAAGTGCAGCCGATTAGTTTAATTACCCGATGTACTTTTGGAAATGAAGCTATATCCTTGCTGCTAATTCGGGAAGAGGAAAAGAATCCTCTACCCCTACCTACACCGATCCGATGGCATCTGCCCTCTTCGCCACTTGTGCCCTCAGGAACATCAACCGGATTGTAGCAATGGCACAAAATGAATCAGACTATCACCTCACTGGATGTCTACTTTTGTAATGGCAACATTCTTTTCGTCCCCTAAGGAGGACTCCCTTTCCAAGAATGGTGATTAGGGGACACTTAATGCTCACTTTTTATAGCAAAATATCATCTCTTTGAATTGACTTTTAGAATGATCAGTATATTGATAGGTCAATGTTTTGGTTGAGCTGGTTGAGCTTTCTCTGAGCTACTCGTATTCGAGGCTGGACGCGATCCAGCATACACTTGGACTGTATTTGTCACTGAAGTAATTGTGTATTGGCATTAACGCCTTACCTGCGGCCCCATTTGGCTTAGGTCCGAACCTACGTTCAAATTAGTTAAACATCAAAAGCTGGGTGAAAAGATCGACGACACCATTGGTTCTACTCCCGTTCTCTTGCCTATTCATACGTGCACCTCACGCGGGGAATTTCCCTCCATCTGTAAAGGAGATCGGAGTTCGACCACCTGTGTCAGTTGATAATGCAACGATCGCGTCGATCCATTCAAAGCAGCGGCTCCTTCTGCTGCCTATATAATGACCTGCAATATGACTGTTGGCAATGAGGTCACTGCTCGCCTCAGACTTATTTCTTGAGTTGCAACCTTTCGGCTAACACTGTCGTGCACCACACATCTTGATGTCATATCGTTCTGGGCGTTGGTAACAACAGAGTTCTGGTCAGAGTCGCACCTCCCAGCAGCTACTACTAAGCATTTCTTAACTTTCCTTCCACCTTTCATGATTATTGTGTGGTGAACTAATAAAGCAGATTGCCGTAATTCCTTTAAAGATTTTGAATACCAAATGGGCACAAGGATGATTATTAAAGCAAAAAAGTAGACAACTACCCATAAGACAAACGAAATGAGGATGCACTTCAAACTGCTCTTAATATGAAGTGAATGCACAAAAATTTACGGCGATCTAGTTGACCAGTGCAGTGCATTAAACCAGTGCGCAGAAGGTTGGCCATAAGTAAAACGGTTTTTGATTGTTCCGTTTAGATCTAATCAGCCCAAATAAACGTTCACTTCGCGTCACTTTATCAATTCTGCAGATGCTGGTGATGCTGCTGCCGCTGCTGCATGCATTACCCACTTTTAATTGCGCATTTACGAGAGCATCGCAAAACTTCTTACTAAGGCTGCGTTATACCTCCCTCGGCTATTGGGTAAGTAAGACCTTAGCCGGAGCACACAGTTGGCAATTCGTTGCCCT